GGTAGTTTGTCGACTGAAATTGCATATGCTGATTTGAATTTTATTTTAGCGGCAGAGCCAGTTGATCCAGAAGAGGAAGAGAAGCGCCGCACAGAGGCAAGAAGGGAGAAACAGAGGCGTAGAAGAGAGAAGAACAGTGAAAAATACGGAGATGGGTACATGTCATATTCTTGGGTGCCATTGTTTAGTTTAACGGGGAAAACATTTGCAAGAGTGTTAAGTCACTGTCACTTTAAGAAAAATTATGCCTGCAAAAGAATCTTTGGATTTCATAGACTCGATTCTTTGCTAGTTTGCTTTGTAAATAAGGGAATGTTAACCAGTTAAAATCTTTTCAGAATGGCCTTTACCTGCTCGTTCTGCAAGTTCAGATCATTTGAGGAAAAGGGCATTGAAGATCACTTGGTCAGTGAAGCTCATCAGGAGATGCTAGATCATATCCAGAAACAAACCAAATTTGACAAACCTGTCATGGAGTTCTTGCATGTAAGTGAATCTTTTAGTGTCTTGTACCGATTGGAGTGACTTGAGTTTCACGTAAGCAGGCCAATGTTTGACAACATTTTTACATATTAGCCGACACCCCTTTCAAATTAGTTTTGGTGAGGGAAAGTCTCTGGGAATTGTCTAATTCTCAAAGCAAACATTTGATGTTCTTGAGCCAGGAATATCTGCATCCATACACCAAGAATCAAGCCTGTCACATGTTTCAACTGTTATTATGAATATATCATAAATTGATCATGGCCCGCACATCCTGGACCTCATTTTATGCATGGCCTCACCATAATACTGCTGTAAGAATTATTGAATATGTCAACATGGTTGGAACATTACCTCATGTATTATGTTCAGTGCTTCAGAAACTGTTCTAAGGTAAATGAGTTTTAGTAAAACAAAACCTGTTGCAAAGTTTCTGGAACGCACATGAGGGGGCTGTAGAACGTCTGCTGCTTTAATCTGGTGGGCTGTGGTTTTTTGTTTTTGTGTTGGGACTTTGTGGGGCTTTTTCTCTCAAATGTAGCCAAACCTTGATTTTAAAAACAAAAATCCTTCCCTTTTCTCTTAGGAATGCATAGTTAACAAGTATAAGAAAACTGCTGCACGTAAGGCTCAGGCCACCCAGAATCAAAACGAAGCTGCGAAAGCTCCAGAGAAAGATATTATGGAAGGTATGTTCTCTTTGTAACTGCAAATGTGTTTGTAGCAGTAAAGTGGTTAGTCGAGAGAGATATATATATATATATATACATACACATACACATACACATACACATACACATACACATACACATACACATACACATACACAAACCTGAAAAATGTGTGCCATGAAGGTGCAGAACTTACTCATTGGCCATAATTCTGTATATTTGACAGGCTGTACCCCAAGCCTGGCTTGGTTTAATTGAGCTCCAGCCTTGCACACTGATTTAACTAATTGAAAGTAATGGGCAAAGTCCCTAGAAATTGGAGGTACTTTGATCTTGACAGGGCAGGATGTGTACAAAGCCCTTATCAACCAGTTCAGACTTCTAACTCTTTGCTCTTTTCAATCCAGTTTTTGGGTAAAGCATTGTTACCGGCTATATAGATTTTCCAGGTCAAGTAACAATAGCCTGGAATTTGGTGAAATTAAAAACTAGTAGCTATTCACAATTGTATGTGAATGTGTGGTCTCATTGATTGATGATTGCCACCATGCTAATTTTGACTGCTTTCACAATGTAACTTAGTCTTTGGTACTACAGTAGTACTGTAAGAAATCCACTGGTGTCTGGTACTGTATCTCTATCCCAAATACATCATCCTTAGGATTCAACAAAGACATGCTTGTAGAATGAAAATATAAAATAACTGGATGCACAGATACCAGTATTTCGGTATGGTATAAGTACAGATATTTATCTTTCAGTACTTGTCGATGCATAGTACCACTACATGCACAAGCATAGAGCTGGTTGGTGAGTCATTACCCACCAGCAGGCTTCCTGATTGTCTGGGAAGCAGGCTCCATGTTCCCTCATGGCACTGCCGGTCAGAGGAAATCTCCCTGTGACCAGAAGTTCTAGAATCGGAGCATTTGGATGGTACAAGAACTCTCCCAAATACTCTGTATTTGCACCGATACTTGTATCTGTGCATCCTGTAAAATAACTGTTCTTGATTTCTAGTGCTAGCATATTAAAATATAAATTGCTTAACTCTCTATTACCTGTGTAATCTGTTTTTTCTCTTTTTCCCTTAGGAGTTACTCCAGATGATCACATGATGAAAGTTGAAACTGTTCATTGCAGTGCCTGCAGTGTGTATGTACCTGCGTTACACAGCTCTGTGCAGCTGCACCTCAAATCTTCTGATCACTCAAAGAGCAAGTTGGTAAGATGCATGCTTCAGTAATGACCAATACTGGGGAACTGGGAACAAGTCCCTCCTACCCTTTTCTGTGAGCTTAAACATGTTCAATCTTACATTTTCTTAAAGAATACACCTTTATGGAAGGCCTCCTTCCTAGATACACTTCATGGCACATCATGCAAGTGCAGTTTAAAATAAGCATACTGCTATTTTCTGGCTGAGATGTTAGTTACCTGGCTGTCTCTGGCCCAATAGACAAGGAAAGTGTGCAGCTAGTGAAGTCAACTCCAGATCTGCATATTTATTTCAGATCGATGACTGAGTACTGTAATACTGTGTATCAAACTGGAGCAGACAATTTGAAGCATTTGCCCATAGCAACCAGTCAGCTTCTCTCCACTTCAGTAAAGCTTTGATAATGAGAAACTGGCTGCCATGGGTAACTGCTCCAGTTTTGATTAATTCCTCAATGTATTTTTGACTCTGAATTTTGAATGTGCTTGTCAGCCCTGCCTACAGTTATGCATTACAAAGCACAGATTTCACATCTCCATAATCCCTCCTTGTACATGGCTCACATTCTCTGGCCTGATCAATAAGTGTGTCTGGAGTTTTTTGCACAGATAAAAATTTTAGTGGTATATTTGGCAGATTGAAGGGAGCTAATAAGTTCATGTAAGTTTACATATACTCTAAATTTGTGGATGATACATGTGTGGCATTTCTGCTTCCCAGGCTTACAAAGATCAAATAAAGAGAGAAAGCATCTTGACTGCAACAAGCATACTGAACAACCCACTTGTAAAGGCAAGATATGAACTCTATTTGAAGGTAAGTTAGTATGTAAACATTTCTAAGGGTCATTTAAATCTACTCTGCCATTGTGATAAGGCACCCAAACAAAATGCAATCTTTGAATAGGCTGCTTAATACACAGTGCATGCAATTTTTAGCAGAGTAGCACACAAACTTGCATTTTTTTAATGGTCTGAGGAAAGTAAATGTGACCTGTAACGCATTAAGCAATGGTTTTCCACCCAAAATTACCTGTTCAGTATTTTCTTGTGTGAACGGCTGACTTGTGTTTTTTAACTGGCTGTTTGAGAGTCTGCGTAAGATACTGAAATTGGCATGTGCATCTAATATGGAGATATGTGGAAACTGGTGAGCATACTTAGATTAGTAGTGTCCTCTATTTGCATTGAAAATTTGCAGTACAGCTAAAATGTCACACAAATGATTACTAAGTGGGTGGCCTATGTAATCTGTAGGAGTGGTCTTCAGTCTGGCTGTAAGTCTTTGTGCAGTGTTTCAAAAGCCTCAATCAAGCTTCCATGCCTTCCTGGTGCTTGTATGGGACTAAAATACTGTGATTGCTTGCGCAAAGGTTTAAAGCTGAGGGGGTTTGGTAACATAATGGGGGATTACTCTGAGCCTGATCTACCATGTTGGGTAAAGTGGTATTGCCTTTATGATGGATCTCTGTATATGCTCCTACCACAACCTTTCTGTACCTGTCGCAGGCTTAACATTAACTAACTTGTCTTTTTTTATAAAGGGTGAAAATCCATTTGAAACTCATCCTGAAGAAGCTGCTCAGGAAACGGTTACTGAGGATGCTGAAGCCAGTACTGGAGCTGAGGGTGAAGTGGCAAATGCTGTGGAGGCTGATGTAGAGGAGGCTGAATCGGAAGACTTCACTGCTGATCCCTTGACCACAACTGATGAGAACTAGATTAGATAAATCTGTAGATCCATCCTTTTTAAACTGTTGTGCCATCCCCTTTCAAAGTCTATGCCCTTGGGAATCAGAAGCTCCGTGTTTTGCAAAGAAAACTCTTCCTTTGTATTCTTCTTTGCATATTCATAAAACTTATTTTGTGATTTTTTAGCTGTTTGTTGGGTTTATTTATCAGGGCTAACTCTGATGATAAAATGCCAGTTTTATTTTCTGTCAACATGCTAGGTCCTAGTATTTTAACCTGAAAATGCTGTGAAGTCTTGGAATGTATTTGTACAATGTTGGACAGAGTTAGTGTTTATATTGTAGTCTGTGACACCAAGTAATGTGGCAGTGTAAGCTTATATTTCTTTTTTACTTTTCTATTTTGTTTGCTACTTAGATAGGTGTGTCTCAAAGATGACAAATAAATCTAAACTCAAACTGTTCGCTGACTTCATTCTTCATTCTTGTTAAAATGCTATGGGGGGAGCATGCAATATGTGCAGGTCTTGTAGGCTTTATAATTCTGAGACTGTTTGTTTCCACCAATATATGTATACCATAACAGGGTGACCCTTTGTTAAAACACTGTATCAAACAATTACCAGGATTTTATTATAATAAACCACCCCTTACCAAATTTGTGCTACTTGTCTCCTTTTAGCTGGTTACAAAATAGCTTCATCTTCCTTCTCAGTTCTTTGCATCCTGGCTTCGCATGTGTTGGCATACATTGCATAATGCAGTTACCAAGTGGATACCATTGGGTAACCAAAATAAAAGATCAAGAGCTAAGCCTGCTTGGTAAAAATATATGGTAAGACAACACAAAGGTAGGGAAGCTGGCATGTAAATTTTTTTTTTTCTACCTGCATTGGCATTCTAGAGCTACAAGGAATGCATTAAGATATGTAAACATGAAATCCGGGCAGCTAAAATTACGAAATGTATATCGCCAGTCTAAGAACCCCCAAAAATTCCAATATAAACAGTAGAAAGGTAAAAGCAGGTAGGCCCAATAAAAGATGAGCTGGAGATTAATCACAAACGACAGGGAGAAGGCTGTGTTCTCTCCAGTATACACAAGAAAAAGATGGGGTTTAACCCCTTCATGACTGAGGCCTTTTTTTTTTTTTCATTTTTTGCACCCATGTTATATTCCACATTTTAGGCCTGAAAATGACTTACCCCCCCATGCATTATATATTTTCTGAATGCCAAGACCCTATAGAATAAAATGGTGGTGGTTGCAAACTTTTATGTTGCGCAATATTAGCGCAACTCCTTATTAAACCCCAACATTTAGTGAAAAATGTAATGCCCCAAAATACCCTTTTTATATTTCATTTATAAAAAAAAAAAGATGAGGTTACAACAAGTAAAACGATCCCAACATGCCCAGGTTACAAATTGTGTGCGTCCATGAAACGGTGAAAAACTGCAGTATCCCAAAAAGTCCATAGACGCTTTAAAAGCCCCCACAGGTCATCAATTTAGAGACCCCAAAATACTGGCCCTAGAATTATTGCTCACTCCGGCGTGCGCAGCGGTACCCAACATACGTAGGCGCACCCGACGCGTGTTTACACGGACTTTTAAATTTTTTTTTTTAATTTACATTTAAACTTTTTTTTACTTTGACTATCACATAGGGGGGGCTTACAAGCCCCCCCATGTGATAGCAGATGGTGGTGACGGGTACCCTTTAAGGTGATGCTGGGGGTCCAAAAAACACCTAGTGTCACCTTTACACTGTAAGCAATTGAAGTGCAGATCGCACTTCAATAGCTTATAGCTGGGCTGCAGGAGCCCAGAACTGACAGCCCAGGGACCGGAAGTGATGCAATCTGCATCGCTCCCGGTCCCATGGGAGGGGGATTGATGAATGGAAGTTCGTCGACCCTCCCCGCGGACACTAAGGACGCCGGGCCCGTACGAGGGGCAACGGAGCCCGGGAAGGAGGGGGAGGGGGCAGCCCCTTCTTCGGGACACAAGCGATCTGGCGACAGGTAAGTCGCCAGAATCGCTTCTGTTGTAAAGCCAATAGTCTGCTTTACAAGTTTAAACAGCCCCGATGCTGGCGACGTACACTACGTCAGTCACGAATGGGTTAATGGAGATGATGTGAGTAGCTCAGTGTGTAAGATACTGCACTGGTTGACTGTAGCAGGGTTTCGACAAAGACTTGTAAAACTTAATGCAAATCGTTAGGATCAGATAACTTGCACCCCAGGGTACTTAAAAAGCTCAGCCAGGTTATAGCGAGACTGTTATTCCTCATTTTCAAGGACTCCATAATCTATGGGCACAGATAAAATGGTGTGTACATGGATAGAGAACTGGCTACAGGAACGTGTCCAGAGTATTGATAAATGGCTCTTTTTCAGATTGGTCTATGGTTGAGTGGCGTGCACCAGGGTTCTGTGTACTGTTTAACCTGTTTAATGATCTTGGTGTTCATAGCAATGTTTCTGTGTTTGCAGATGATACTAAAATTGGGAGGATAATGGACACGGTATTAGACATTATAACATTACAGGAGGACCTTTGATAAAATAGGGGAGTGGGCAACTATATGGCAGATGACATTTAATGTTCAAAAATTTTAAGTAATGCATTTTGGGGTTAAAAATAGGCAAGCAGAATACACAATGGGTGTGCCACTGGGGAGGTCAGAAATGGAAAAAGATTTGGGGGTCATAGTAGACCATAGATTGAATAACCGCACGCAATGCCAGGCTGCAGCAAACAAAGCTAGCAGAGTATTTTCATGCATTAAAAAGGGACTAGTGTCGACACACAGCAATAATTTTGCCACTTCATAGATCACTGGTTCGGCCTCATCTTGAGTATGCGGTTCAATTTTGGACACCAATCCATAGAGAGGATGTCGTTAAGCTGGAGAGAGTCCAGAGAAGGCCAACTAAACTAGGGCTGGAGGATCAAAGCTATGAGACGAGGTTGCTAATTTTAAATTTGTTCACACGAAGTGAGGCGATTAAGAGGGGACATGATTTCTATGTACAAAATGTTCAGTGGAGATGGCAACATCAGCAATAAACTTTTTACTGTACACTCACTAACAAAGACTAGAGGCCACCACCTAAAATTGGCTGAGAAAAGATTTAACCACACAGGGCGTAGGGGCTTCTGAGTGGTTATGTTTTGGAACTCTGCCACAAGCAGTGGTATCGGAGAATATTGATTTATTCCAAAATCGGATACCGTCAGACCGTAACAGGAGTAGAGGTACTTATAAAAACTAAGACCACACATGCACACACAACACAGACACAAAAGTTGAACTTGGTGGACCTGTATCTATTCAACCAAGTACAATGTAACCTTCAAACCTTTCCAAACTTCTAGACATCCCTGGCAATCAACCTCAAACCTGTGGAAAATTACACTTCTGCATGAAGGTCTGACCCCACCTTTTCCATCTCAAGCGGGGGATGTGTGATGGAATGAGCGGAGATGTGGGAAGCTCAAATTTCAGATGCTTGGGTTCGAGAGGTGGTTTTCACCGGTTACAAAATAGCTTAATTTTCCTTGTCGGTTCTTTGCATCCTTTCTTCGCATTTGTTTCAACAGCGCCAGACGAACCTTTCTTTTTGTGTACTTCAAGGTCTGTTGGATAATGGGTGTTATTCCTGTTAGTTTGGCAGAACATTTTCAAGGCTTTTACTCCAACCTGTTTTCTGTTCCCAAAACCAATAGAGGCCTTTGTCCGATTCTTGATTTGAAAGCACTTAATTTGTTTGTACATATTCACAAATTTCAGATGGAATCCATTCAGTTGGTTGTTGCCTCTCTTCAAGGAGATTGGTTTCTGTAGAGATAAAGGATGTGTATCTACACATTCCTGTATTTCCAGCTCATCAGCATTCCTTTGTTTTGCTGTAGGAGAACTTCATTATATTTGCTTTGGCCCCAAGGGTTTTTACAAAATCCTTGCTCCAGTTCTGGGACTTTTGTTGCAAGGGCAGTCCGATTATTGGATACTTAGATGACCTTTTACTTTGCAAACAGTCTCTTGACTTTGGAGCTGTCGAAGGTGCTGTGGACATTAGAGAACTTCGGGTGGAATCTGAACATCGCAAAATCGTCCATTATTCTGTCACATTGGTTGGAGTACTTGGGTCTTCTGTTGGATACCTTTCAGGCAAAGGTGTTACTTCTGCAGGACAAATTGATTAAGTTATGGGATCAGGATTGGTCCTGTCGCCGATTCTCTGAAAACTTGCATGAGAATTTTGGGTCTGATGGTATCCGCCTTCAAATTGATTCTACTGGCTCAGTTCCATTCCAGGGCTTTACAAAGAAACATTCTTAGGCTGGGTTCACACCTGGGCGTACGGCATAGGATAAGTCTCCTCTGTCGCTGGACAAGACTTTGTGCCCTGACCGGGCTGTCTGTCATGGTGGTTAATATCCCTCTGCATAGACAACGGGGAAGTCCTTTCTTTCAATAACTTGGAAGATTGTACTCTTGTGGGATGATAAGATGTCTTGTATCTTCTGCCTGTGCAGGGTTGTTGGTCTTTGGAGGAATTCAAGCTTCCGATCAATATCCTGGAATTTAGAGCAATTCGCCTGGCATTGTTTCAATGGACCAGTCTTTTAAAAAAAAAAATTTTTTTGTAGGGCTGGTAATGATTAAAATTTTTGTGTTCGATTAATCAAAATTTTTTTAATCGATTCATTTCGATTAATTATAACGCACATACAGATCCAACTACATTGGCTTATACACATACAGCACAGCAATGATGTAATAAAATGAACTAGGATCACACTAATCCAGCACATTATTAATCTCACGTGCCCCACTCAATATGGCCGCCGCTTGAGTGGGGCAACTCAGAATAATGGCGTGCTGGATTAGTGTGATCCTAGTTCATTTTATTACTTCATTGCCCAAGTGGCTCCGTCGGCTAACGAAGGGGGAGGAGTCATGGACATCAACATCACCGGACTCCTCCCCCCTTCCCTTTGTTAGCCATCACGGGCATCACCGGACTCCTCCCCCTTCCCTTCGTTAGCCGACGGAGCCACTTGGGGAAGGGGGGAGGAGTCTGGTGATGTCGATGTCACCAGATTGCCAACGGGACTCCCGGAAGCCGGCGGAGAAGTGAGTGTTTTCATTAGCGATCAAAATAATATTAATCGATCAAAAAGTTTAACGATTAATTGAGAAATGAATCTTTAATTTGCACAGCTCTAGTTTTTTGTATCTCTTAGCGCTAGTGGTTGCCGTCAACAATCCTCCCGCAGTTTCTATTCTTCCCTCTCTTCACACTCTTGGGAGGCTGCTCCTCCAAAGGATCAGGGGTTCCCGTCACATACATGGAAAACATAAAGAGCAAAGCACCGCTTCCATGAGTAAAACCTATTTATTTCCTATTTTATTTCAGTAAATAAAAATAGGTATATTA